ATATATCTATTAACAAGCACACCCTAAGGGTTGCTTTATTACCAAATACCAATTATCCCGAAACAAATTCAATCTCAATTCAAAATCTAACTCAACTTTAATTCAACTTCACTATCTTCAATATTATCAATACAATTAAATAATATCTATCAATCATCTTTACACATCACATCAACTTTAACACACTATTCATCAATTTATATTTTTTTAACTACATATCACTTCCAATAATTTATTTCCTACTTTTACATCGACCTATTTCCTTCAACTTGAACAAGTCGAAGGGGTCTGAGGTGGTGACTAGCAAGAAACACTCAAACTCCCAGAAGGGATTCTCATCCAAGAAACAAGCACGCACCAAGCGTGTCGAAGTGGAAGCCCAAAATGATGTCTCGATTTGCTCAGGTCGAGACTCCACAAGTCACTACTTCGGTTGCGCAGGTTGAGGTTCCACAGTCATGTGCGACCAAATCTGAGGGTTCGACCATAACTTCTTTCTTGATGAAATGTCTTCCCCCTACTGAGACTCGACATTCGGGTTCCAACCAACAAGGTCGAGCAGACTCTACGGCGAAGGGCTTTGCCTGGGTACTTCTTACCTCTTAGTACTTGAGGTCTTTAATTGTTGTTTTTATTTTAGCTCGTTTAACCCATTGACTTTTACAGTTCATGTCTGTTGTGATCCCTATCCTCGACGAGGGCATCGGTGGGTCTGGTCCTTCGGTCCAGGCCCTTAAGGCAAAAGTCAAAGCTTAGGCGGCCCAGAACAAATGTCTCTCTGGCCTCAAGTTCGACTTGACGCAAGAGATATCAAGGAAATATCGGCTGCACAAAAATGACCTCATGGCCAAAGAGTTGAGCTCGAAGCGGAGAGGTTGCGCCGGGAGGAGGCCGAGACTAAGCTAAAAAAAAATCGACCCTAAATGCTCTCACCTGGGATTACATATAAGGTCGGCAGTACTTCTGCACCTTGAAGTTAGGGGATGCTATTCTCGATGCTTACCGGGAACAATTTGTCGAGGACTTCTGCCGATCTCCTAGCTTTCTTAAGAGACTCGTTCATGTTTCCCAACAGTATATAAAAAGCGCCTTGATTCTAGTTGAGTCTCAAGCTAAGGCTCAGGCTTCACTGGCGAGTTCGACCTGTTAGAGTAGGGTACCCGGCGTTCCAATCTAATTGGACGTATTCTACTTGTAAATACAGTCTATTGGAATTATATTATGAATAAGGCATTTCTTTATCTTAAGAGAAAGCATTTATCTTATAATTGCACTTAAGATAAAATCCCTAGATCACTTATGGTTATAAGGTATGGTTGCGCATAGAGATGGTGATCATGGAACATACCTTGAAAGCCGTGATCTTAAATACAGTTCCAAGTCGATGGATGTTTCGAGATGGGATATCGAATAATCCATAAAAGACTTGCACATAGTTTGTATGCTTGTTGGACAAGAATGTTGCATTCCATCAACATTAGCGTAAGACGTAAGTACATTTATGTGGGTGCTTGTTAGAGAACAAGTTCACTGAACATGACCGTATGAAAATTCTTAATGAAGAATTTATTCAGTCGAATAAGAATTTTCATGTTACAATAGTACATGACTAATCCTAAGACTTGAGGCACAATGGTAACTTTGTGCATATTACATTCTACTTTGATTTATCCTTTTGGTAGCTAGCACTATCGTTTAAAGGGATAAGTTGGGTATTATGTTAATATGTATGGAAGTTTGTTAGTGGCCAATAAAGGATTCGACACTTATGAAGATAAGTGAATTTCCTATGTGTTTCATAGTTATTAATCCAAAGTCCTTGGCCAAGGCAGAGATGAATAGTGATTCATAACCGGGTTAATAAACATGAAATAGAATCATAGTTATTAAGTCAATTTGGGTTTCGACAAAATCATACCCAAGACTTAATCGGGAAATTAGATGTCGAAAGGATTTTACATGTATGGAGTTGTAATCGGAATAGGTTTACTCGCTATTCACTTAATACTAGATTCATGCTACTTGCTAGGTGTTACCATGATATGTGGGTTCATAAATTAAAGGGTTAATTCATGAATAAGAGTTAATAAGATTTAACTCAAATTACAAAGTGTTGTAAACCCACTACTAGTATTAAGGTGAACCTAAAAGGTCACACTAATTATGAACAAAGGTAAAGATTGTATTTCTAATGGTTAGAATTAATTGATAAATATCTAATTTGATTAGATATCAATTAAAGGAATATATTAATCAATAAGATTGATTAATTACATTTTGGATATTACTTTAGTAATTAAGGTAATTACTAAATTAATAAAGTTGAATTTTAAAATAGGATTTTAAATTTCAAAAATCCAAAATAATAATAATATGATTATTATAATATTGGGAAAATGATATAATAATAAAGTCTTGAGAAAGATTCTCAAGATTTATTATCCAATTATTATTTATATCTTTAAATATGATTTAAGGATTAAAATAATAAATATGATTATAATAAAATGGTTGTTGATGGTTGTTTGAACTACTTAACATATCTTATTATTTTCAAAGTCAAAAGTTAGTAAATACTATTTAAATAAAATTTGATTTTATTTAAATATTACTAAATGTTGATTATTTTATGCTAAAATGTTTAGTATAAATATGTGCAAAATGGTTTTGCATTTAAGTGAGGTTTTGATCCTAAATTTCTAAGTGTTAGAAAGAGAAGAAAGTGTTCTTCATAAAACTTCAAGAAAGAGTTCTTAAAATTCCCAAATAAAATTCATAAATATTCCTATACAAGAAAACCGAGTCTTTTCTACTAGCGAAGGAAAGTCGTCGGAACCGGGCTTCATAGGGTGGATACGTTTAGAGGGAAGACACTTGGATTCCTAAAGTGAGTAACATCAATCCGTTGAAGTTATCAAACCGGGAACCGATTCCCACAATCCACATCGTCGTTGAAGGAGTTCAAGACATTCGGTAAATACTTTGTATTTGTATTTATTTTATATAACAAATCAAAATTTGTATATGATGCATGTTTTAAAGATGACTATCAGTTAATTCGCAATTAGTATGTACGGGTGTTGTATTTATACGATAAATACTTATTTTGAAAAATTTTAAATTCCGCTGCTTAAAGCCCGTACGGTACTAGCGAACACAACACGACCATCAAGCTATCGTAGACAGATCTTTTATGCTCCTGAAGGGTATGAGGGCGACCCCATTCTTTATGATCATTTGTGGTGGTCGAACACCCTAGTAGAGTGTCTAACTCGCTATGGGTTGGAGAAGAAGATTGTCGTGCCAGCTGTTCCTCTGGTGGTTCAACCTATCTCTCAGGTTAGACCCGAGGGAACTCATATTGTTGGAGATGGGGTGCTTGTTAACCAATTTGCGGCTCTATCTGGATCGACGACCATCTCTACTGGCCCTGAGGCAACCACGACCCCTCCTCTGTGAATGTCTTTTCTTTCATTGTTTTTGAAAATTGTTGTTTAATGTTCCTCTATATTATGACCTCCTCTTGGTCATGTAACTTTTATTTTTTGCAATTTAATATTTTTTTTTTTTTTGCAATCTTCACATTCTGCTCGCAACTTGTTTGTTCTTGTACTTAAAAAAATTTAGCCATAAGAATGTCCTCATAATTTGACCTGCCAATCAGGTCTTCACGATTTATTCAATAATTAGTAAAATTTTGAGTGAAGATTATTATAATTACTCGACCTACCGCTGAGGTCTCCAAAGTGGTTCAACACTTAGTGTAAAATTTTGAGTAAAGGTTATCGTAGTTATTCGACCTAGCGCTGAGGTCTCCAAAGTGGTTCAACGCTTTGTCTACAATATGAGTAAAAGTTACCTTATTAATCGACCTTTTTCTGAGGTCTCCAGATGAACGCCATTCTTAGAAATATTTCGCAAGTTTGACAGTAACGTCACCTTTGTTAGTTGACCTGCCACTGAGGTCTACTAAAACACATTCGTATTTAGATATAATTATGCCATTTATTGTGTGTATTGGACCTTCCACTGAGATTCATCGAATTTTTCATTTTGAAACGTGGTTACTGCACCTACTTTAGTTGTACTTATTGCTCGACCATTGACCTACGCCTCTTCCGTCCTTGCGCTCGACCAGCCACCCCGAAGGCCTTAGTCATGTTAGATTTTTATCTTCGAGCAACCCGCCAATTAGGGTCGACCAGCCAGCCCGAAGACCTTAATCATGCTAGACTTTTAGACACCCGAACTTTGTAGCACTTGCTCAACCTGCCACTGAGGTCATTCAAACGAATGACCAGCCAGCCCGAAGGCCTTACTCGTGTTGGGTTTTCGTCTTTGATATTTTCCCAACCCTCATCTAGGGTCGTTCAAACAAGCGATCGCCCACCCCAAACATTGTAGCACTTTCCCGACCTACCACTGAGGTCATTTGAACAAGCGAACAGCCAGCCCGAAGGCCTTCATCATGCTGGGTTTTTCGTCTTCGACACTTTCCCAACCCTTCTCTAGAGTCGTTCAAAAAAGTGGCGAGCCAAGTCAAAGGCTTTAATCATGCTGGATTTTTTTACACACAAATTTTGTAGCACTTACCAGACCTACCACTGAAGTCATTCGAACAAGCAGCCAGCCAGCCCGAAGGCCTTGATCATGTTGGGTTTTCGTCTTCGACACTTGCCCAACCCTCCTTTAGGGTCGTTCAAAGTAGTGATCAACCAACCTGAAGGCCTTAATCATGCTAGATTTTCAAATACCCAAACTTTGTAGAACTTGCTCGACTTGCCATTGAGGTCATTCGAACAAGTGATCAGCCAGCCCAATGGCCTTGATCATGCAGGGTTTTCGTCTTCGACACTTGCTCAACCGTTCTTTAGGGTCGTTCAAACAAGCGACCAGCTAGCCCAAAGGCCTTAATCATGCTGGATTTTTGGAAACCCAAATTTTGTCGCACTTTCCCGACCTTCCACTAAGGTCGTTCGAACAAGCAACTAGCCAATCCAAAGGCCTTGATCATGCTGGGTTTTCATCCTCAACACTTAACCAACCCTCCTATGAGGTCATTCAAACAAGAAATTAGTCAGCCCAAAGGCCTTAATCATGCTAGATTTTTTGACACCCGAACTTTGTAGCAATTGGCCGACCTGCCGCTGAGGTTGTTTTCGACCAAGCAACCAGTCAACCCTCCTTTGAATTCGTTGAAACAAGCAACCAGCCAGCCCAAAGGCCTTATTCATGCTGGATTTTTGGACACCCGAACTTTGTAACACTTTCCCAACCTGTTGGGTTCTATTAGGAACGTCGACAATGTGCACATTCAAATCTATTGAATAATAAATCCTAACGCAGCCGAATCTATAGTTAGGATTAGGACTTACGGTTTAAAATTTTTTTGCCGACTCTGAGTCGTTTCTGATTTTCGTTGATGGAGATCGTCTGTTTATCACTACCTAATCGGTTGAAGGGTTTGGCCTTTGTCGACTCTACTCGAGTGTTGAATCACGAACGGATCGTCTCGGACCTTCGGTATGTGAACCGGACTCCTTTGACTGCTCGAAAACTATCCTGGGTTTGAACCGGGCTAACTGGGTCAAGCCAAATCGGGTCGGACCAATTTGGATCGGTTCGGTTCGGGTTTGGGCCAGACTGGGCTGGACCGAGTCGAGACTGGTCACTGGGCACGAGGGTTGGCTCGCTGGGCCAGGACAGCTCGGGTCTGGCGCTGGGTCGCGGGTGCTGGGCCGGGTGGCATGCTAGGATGGTGCAGGTACACGCGCGCGGGGCGGTACTCCTACGCCTGGGCTGTCTGGGAGCGTGGGTGGTTCACGCGGATGTGCGCGACACGTCTCCTAGGCGGACAATGAAAAGGCATGCGCGGCACGGGCTGGTCGTCGTCTTCTTGGGAACGCGAGGAACGCGGGGCGCACGCGGCGAGGCGCAAAGANGGCTGCCGGCGGATGACGGCGGCGGTGATTGGCCAGAATATGTAGATCTTTAAGGCTTGATAAATATCACCTTAAAGTCTTCTAATGGATTACCTAAACACCTACTTTGACTAATGTTGGTGGAGCGATTAATCGAAACTCCCTAACTCTCAAATATATGAAGAACACGATTTTTCTCTTCCTTATACGAACCTTAAAATCGAAACTCTCATCATCATCATAAGAGGTTGGGACATGGTGTATTTATAGGCTCCATTAGAGACCTTAAGGAGGTGCTAAATATGGGTTTATCCCATTAGGCTAAGGAATTTTAATTCCATTCTATAAACCTTTCCCATCTAGAATATAATTCCTTCCATTAACCATCACTTTCTAGAAGACTCTCTAGTCTCCTAACCCTAGGTAACATTCTAGAAGAAATATTCCCATCCTAATGGAATATTAATTATAATAAAATTAATTCTTAAAATCCTCATTAGAATTAAATAATAAAACATCCCACTAGAGTAATATTATTGCTCTCCCCATTTAGCTCCAATTTAATCAATAAATCAAACCTCCACTTGATTAAATAAATATTAATCTTATTGATCGATTTACCTCCTTATGTTTAAGATATAACGTCCGTTTATTAATTAAATTACTGACAAAACAAATAATCAACTTCTTATTCATTTCCGAAAAACTCGTACCACTCAGATCTTTAATCATTATGTCGGATACACATCCTCTTGTAGGGCTTGACATAATATTCCTTCCTGAGTTCATTATCAATCCAGCGCACTAGAGCATAGTAACTGTAATTAATTTATAGTAGCATGCCATATAAACATCCTCATTTACCAAAGTACCGAGTACGTCATCCTAACGGAATAGGAATCACCCTTGGTAAATCAAATAAACAAGTAATGAATATACACGCCTATTTTATATTATCTTACAGCTTTAGAGAACGCATCAATAACTGAAGGTCTAGATTACAACAACGATCAGTGAGTCTCGTAATCTTATCTTTCCACGATCCTGTTCAATACTTAACATAAGTACTAGTATGGTTCTTAAGATCATTTGAATCAAGAATACACTATAGTCTTTTTCCAAGAGGGGTCTCACTGCCGGTCTAGACTGTGAACGAATAGTTTAGTCTTACAAGGAACCGATAGGTGACCTTTCTGTTCGAGACACCACGAACCACACTATCTCAATGTAAGACAAGGAGTATGATTGCATAAATAAATAAACTGCAAGCATATGTACTTTGACCGAAACATGATTGCTAGATCAAAATGGAATTGTTCATATCCGAAAGCCAAGCTTTTACAGCATATGTAACAATCTCCCACTTATGCTTAATAAGCTCATGGCTATCACTAACCACAATTTTCTCTCAATCTAATTCTCAAAGAATTGTTGTCCTTTCTGCCATACATCCGACTCCCAATCCTTTAACATGGCCATCATCCGCTTTCGCCGGAAAGCCAATCCTAAAAGGATTTTACCATAATCTCCTGACGTAACTAAGCGATAAACATCCACCCTGTCGCAGTCCTTTGCAACGGGCGTACTTGCTCTATGTGCCACTTGCTTTATGAACTAGTGATTCCTCTCTATCTTAACTGCACCAACTGTCATCACAATCCATTGTGACCTGACTTGGTCTGACAAGGTTTCACATTTTTAGTTCAATGGCGAATCCAATCTCTACGTCGCTCGCCTTTGGGAAGGGACTTACTGAGTTTCTTATGGTGGAATTTTCAACATATTACCGCTTGGCATTCCTCCATTCTGCTTGGCTCCCACAAGTGAACACAAACCATAAGGTGGTTTTTACTTGTTTGTTCATGTCCTGATTAGAAATCAGAATCCTTTGTAACCCATAGGTTGCTTATGGCTTGTTTGGTAACTCCACATATTATCCTAAGCCCTTTTACGACACTTGATCATATGTTCTACCTTGAACCAATTGCTCCTGTCTAGGATTACTTCGATATCTACTCATTATGTCCTTGCAATAATAGACATCATGTCTCATTTACCACATGACATAAATTAGGCTTCCTTTTGCCGAGGACAAGGAACTGCCTTTGTGTCATGCAAATTTCGAATGAGCCTTATGATAGTATCTGGACGAAATTCAGGATAATTACAACATATCTTTCTTGTGATCCTCAATATCAAGAACATTTGTTGATTCCGAATCGTTAATATCCAACTACTTGGATAACCATACCCTTGTGTCTGTCAACATTTTCACACTGTCTCCAGTGATCAAGATGTTGTCTACACATAGTACAAAAATACCACCACGCTTCCATTACGCCACTCACAATGCTCATTTGTTGAATATCAAATCCGCGATTCGAACTTATCAACCAAATGACCAGCTCATTATAATCCATAAATGAATTATTTCAGCCTACTGACTAGATGTTCTTAGCCCTTTTCTAATGAACACTTCTGGGTGTTGCTCCATAGATATTCCCACAAGACTCCCACTTAAGAAAAATGTCTTGATATCCACCTTGCCTAATCTCATAACCCATATGAGTGGCAACAACTTTAAATTCAGCTACTTGTGAAAAGACTAACTCATAATAGATCCCATTCTTTCTGAGTGTTCTATATCACAACAAGCCTTACATTTGTACAGACTTAAACATGGCTACCGGTGAAAAAACTTACTCATAATAGACCCCATTCTTTCTGAGTCTGCTATTTCACAACAAGCCTTGTAGTTAAGTCTTCAGTTATAGATTTCGTCCAATAGCCCGTATGCTACTTGGTAATTTTATAAGAACCCAGATCTGATTAGAGTTCACGACTTCAAATCAAAAATCATTAAAACTTTGCTAAGTTTCTGCATCCTTGTCTTGGATCTACTCATTGTATAACTAGGGATGAATTCAAGTTTACTAGAGACTAAGTCCGAGACTTTCTAAAAACATGAATATCATGATCTCGTGTTTCCTAAAGACCGAGTCCAATGACTCTCTCATTGTCACGATTTCATGGCGTTGTTTTGCAACCCTCCCACTACAACAAGGTTCCCTCTGCAAAAGTGTATAACACAAAATACATGTTGAAGTCTTTATTGTGGTATCACATTTGTGCACTTGGTAACAAAGTTGAACTTTCACCTTTATCTTTTCTCAAAACAATTCTACAAATGGGCTTTGTGGTTTATTACTTAGTATTCCTCTAAAAATCAGGCATTCGTGCTAACGAACACCTTCTGACTTTTAGTACATTAAAATAATCCACTCATTTCTCGTTACTATAAAGTATCCCACAAATAGCCTATTTTCCGAACAACCTTTCCAATCCTATTAGTATCAAACTTTCCAGCACGTGTGCCAAAATACTCTAAATCTGAATGTGTTCCTGACTAGGCCTATGTCTTCGCCTACAATTCATTCAGAGTAATGACTACTAACTTAGATGGAATTATGTTCAGAACTTACCCTGCTATTTGCACAACTCCAATACGAAAAAATGAAATTCCTAATAACTCATCCTTGACATAACCAATCTACTTAAAAGACATTTTCCTTCGTCAAGTTACATCGTCCCGTTCTGATGAACTAGATGGAATCTGTTGAGACCAAATCTCAACATTCAACAAGCATTTCCATGATTTTCTAAAAGGTATTAGTCACTACGATTTCGATCGTAATGCCACTGATACATTAATCTCGACATTTTTCCATAACTGCCATTACACTCTTTCGTTGTACTTAAGCTTATGGAATGTCACTTAATATACCCTGTTTTGAACAAATTTCTTCAAAGAAAAATATTCAAAACTATCTTTTGTCCTAAAAATCATAGAACTTTACAAATCAGATGAATTAATCCTAACATATGTTTGGCTTCTAAATCCATTGACTTACAAAAGGTCATTTATGTAATTTTAGCTGCCAAGTATAATTCTAGGTCTGATAGTTTCATCCATTCCCAAAGAACCCATAAGTTCAGTGGCTATCCACCTTTGAATTCTACTATTGCTAAAATTCCTAAATGCTAGATGCCAAAAATAATGTATGATTCATTCATTGAAGGACCTTTCTTCTTATTGGTTCTAGTCAATATGCTATTTATTTCATCTACTGCACTTGTGAGATATTTTGGCTCATTGAGTTCATAAATTGTTTACCCACATACCAAATGGATAAAACATCACATTTTTATCCATACCCAATTTAGAAACTGAACACGAGTTCTTTCTAAAACTTGGCACGTAAAGACAATTACTCATAAATCAAAATTTTTATAGAAAACTCATTATGAGATACTTTGGTTCCTTTGAGTTTACAGACTGTCCAACCATGTACCAAATGGATAAAACATTTCGCTTTTCAAAACAGCAAATGTAACCTCCATATACAATTTTAGAAACTGAACGTGATTTCTTTATAAGACTTGGCACATAAAGGCAATTACTCATAAACGAAAATTTCTATAGAGAACTCTCACTGCAATAGTCGTCACTTTCGTAGCAAAAACCCATTCTAGATGGTAATCTACCTATCACATGTTGATTGGTTTCCTAAAATCTTTTTACATAATTAGGGGTTACGTATCTATTCACCAGGCATTGATAGATAACACCATTAAAAATGTTTTGACTTTCTAGCGAATTAAGCTTTACCCTTCTTGTCTTAAGAATGGGATAGTTCATCTTCCTATGTCCATTTTGCTTATACCGGATACACTTGCCTTTCGGCTAGTACTCCTCAGCAAAATAAGACACTATCCAAGTTCTATTTCTAATCATATTTGAACAAGTAAATTATCTTTGAGAATTACGGACAACGGATTAAAAGACATTTTGAATTCCTGGGATCATGCAGACATAGTCTTTACTCAGTCAAGTGTTTTTGAATTTATCATCAAATATTGATCCCCAAACAAAAAAAAAAAAAAAAAATATATATTCAAATAAATTCACTGACACCTCAATACACCGAATCCCCGTAGGCCACGGAGTGTGGACGTCTACAGTTCAAGCCATCGCAAAAGGAGGGATTAATCCCATTATTTAACATATCGTCCAAATAGTACTTAATTAATAGTCGGTTCAACTTTTGGCCAGCGCACTGAGTCAATGTGTCCCTCGTTCTTTATTAGAAGAAAGAATTCATTGACATAAAAACAACCTTTTCCTTTGGGAATATCGTAATTATTTGCACTTTAAGTGTAACCCATTAATTGGTACTAAGTTTACTACCAAAATTATACGTCCACCTTTGGGTGACCCGTACGCTTTTGAAATAGCTCGCTACTACCATCCCGAAGGAGAGTTGTCCTTGTGAATTGTGAAATAAAACATCCTTTGGGCTCGATTTAAATCACTTCACTAACAAACCTATAATGGAGGCCTTGGATGTAATTTATGTCAACCCATTACACACTTAATATAATTTTTATTTTAAGGGATTTTCTAAATCATGCCTCTAACAATTTAACTTGCACATAGACCAATTAAATCACATAAGAGCATGTATGATTAATAGGCAATAATAAACTAGGAACTATAATCCAACTATCATGGCCTTCAATCAATCTCCAATTTTACGGGGAAACACAATCCTGTCCATTGTTGAATGTGTCTTCCGTTTCAGGAATTGGAATACCCCTTTCGCAGTGACTCCCACTCTTCATCTTGAATAGGTCGTTTCTGGGAAAATCGCCATTGGGTCATCACCATGACATCCATCTGCTGGTGTATCGCCTCGCTCCATCGAGGTTGGTCCACATCCGCCAGATCAATAATGAATAATATAAAACAACAATTACACAATTCATCCAATGACCCCTACAGGAGTCTCACATGAGTTTTCTATGAAAGCAGTAAACTATGCGGTGTCCCACCGCGCGAATAATTTATTACAAGCATTCACCAACCCAAAAACTCCTCGACATGTCTGAGGCTTATAAAACGGCATACATGAATTAAAAACACACATACATACGGGTCATAATAGTCGGATTCAAGAATACCTGCAAACAACACTTATTTGCAATTCTGATCTATTATGTGTTGTGCCCGTACATAATTAATTCACATATATCACGCAAGTCCTAATTCGAATAGTGCACAAAGACGAATTAGCCTGGACGCTGATACCAGTTGTTGGGTTCTATTAGGAACGTCGGCAATGTGCACATTCAAATCTATTGAATAATAAATCCTAACACAGCGGAATCTATAGTTAGGATTAGGACTTACGGTTTAAAATTTTTTTGCCGACTCTGAGTCGTTGATGGAGATCGTCTGTCTATCACAATCCAATCGGTTGAAGGGTTTGGCCTTTGTCGACTCTAGTCGAGTGTTGAATCACGAACGGATCGTCTCGAACCTTCGGTATGTGAACCGGACTCCTTGGACTGCTCGGAAACCATCCTGGGCTCGAACTGAGCTAACTGGGTCAAGCCGAACCGGGTCGGACCGGTCTGGACCGGGTCAGGTTGGGTCTGGGCTGGACCGGGTCGGGTCTGGTCACTGGGCACGAGGGTTGGCTCGCTGGGCCGGGACAACTCGGGTCTGGCGCTGGGTCGCGGGTGCTGGGCCTGCTGGGCTGGGTGGCACGCTGAGATGGCACGGGTGCACGCGTGCGGGGCGGTACTCCTACGCCTGGGCGGNGCGACCAGGGACGGCAGTGCGGGACTGGGCGCAGGCGGTGCTGAGGCAGCTCGTGCGGGCGCGTGGGGTCGAGTTCCAGCGGCTGACGGCGGCGGTGACTGACCGGAATATGTAGATCTCTAAGGCTTGATAAATATCACCTTAAAGTCTTCTAATGGATTACCTAAAGACCTACTTTGACTAATTTTGGTGGAGCGATTAATCGAAACTCCCTAACTCTCAAATATATGAAGAACACGATTTTCCTCTTCCTTACAAGAACCTTAAAATCGAGACTCACATCATCATCATAAGAGGTTGGGACATGGTGTATTTATAGGCTCCTATGGACCTTGAGGAGGTGCTAAATATGGGCTTATCTCATTAGGCTAAGGAATCCTAATTCCATTCCATAAACCTTTCCCATCTAGAATATAATTCCTTCCATTAACCATCACCTTCTAGAAGACTCTCGAGTCTCCTAACCCTAGGTAACATTCTAGAAAGAATATTCCCATCCTAATGGAATATTGTAGTGTTCGAAATCACCCAGAAACAACAGATGGCTTGCTTGCTTTCCCGCACCGACCGCCGGGAGTCGGAGGGAGTCGGAGGAAGAGAGGGAGGCCTGCTTGGCAGCTTTCACGCCTAGTTATGGCTGGGTGCTTTGGTCGTACAATTGTTCGCTTAATTATGAAATAAAATTAATTTCTAAAATCCTAATTAGAATTAAATAATAAAATATCCCACTAGAGTAATATTATTGTTGTCCCCATTTAGCTCCAATTAATCAATAAATCAAACCTCCACTTGATTAAATAAATATTAATCTTATTGATCCATTTACCTCTCTAAGTTTAAGATATAATGTAACGCCCCGTTATTTTTAAGTGAAAAAATAATATTTTATTTTCTAGAAAATCAGAGTTAATTTTTCAAAAATCAGTTTAAAGATTTATCTAATGGGCGCTACTCGAATAATCACATAACAACCATCCCGAACATACATATCTCATGCCAAAAATCACCATTTATTCAATCATGTGAAATACTCAATCCAATTCAACATGATTAAAATATCCAAACTCACGAGTTATAACAATAATTCAAATAACAATCCAGTTCTAAAAATCCCAAACAAGCATTAAAAATCTCAAATATCAAGTTGAGTCTCCAAACGGAAATAATAAGTCTAACATGAGATAATCAAATGATAATAATCAAGCGGAAGCAGTTAAATAGCAGTTCAACACAAATAATGACCCCGCCTCGCTTGTCTTTCGCTACGGCCACCAGCTCAACCTGAAAGAGAGTTAATAGTGGGAGTGAGCAAACAACTAGCTCACCGTGGGAATACCTGCAGTATAATCAATATAAAGACTTAAAAGCATGGTCGCAGTATGTAAGCAGATCGGCTAGTCTACTCTCCCTAAACACAGCCATGCTCATGTGATCACACCTAACCTATCAATCCCGGAAAAAGATAGGAAACAAGTCGTCCCCACGAAAAGGACGAGAACCATCCCCACGAAAAGGATGGGAGCAACCGCACATGAAACATCACGGACTAAGCTCTCTAAAGGCTAGAGTTAGGCCTCATAGACTACCGGTTCACATGCATACATAGATCATCAAGCCAAACATTTATAGAAATTAACATACATGGTAAGTTTATCAACACCCACCTGATCAGTCGAAGTTGGCGAGATTACAATAATTAGCAGGTAGTAGGCTGAGGCTCGACTCCTCAAACACCTACATTTAAGCGAGATAATATATCAACAATCTATCTCACTATTCGAAAATTATTTAAAACCCACACTTAATCAAAATTAAGAATTAAGGGTTTTAATCAAATTTCTTCGTGGACTTGGAACTCTCGAATTTTGAAAAGAAAAAGACTCGAAAAAAGAAAATGGGTCACGAGACTTGAAATAATATATCCCGAATTTTTATTATTTTATAGATATTTTTAAAATTAAAATCGATACGAAAAACGGCTTCCGGAACTCAAAATTGGCTAAAAAGGACAAGTGGGCCGCGCTGGGAAGGTCTAAAGGCGCTGCTGGGCCGCTGTGGCACTCTCTGCGCCTTTGCAAGGCGAAATGGGCCGCTCGCGCTGGGCCTAAGGCAGCTGGGCTGGGAGGTGGTGCACGCGGGCCGGAGGAGGGCTGGGAGCGGGCTACTGCTGAAGAGAGGGAACGGGCCTCGCGGGCTGGATTCGGGCCTACCGCGGGCCTGGGAAAAATGAGAAAAGAAATTGGCTGCGCTGGGGCTCAAACACAGGACCTCACTATCGGAATTGAGCCTAGGACGCCACTACACCACGTGGCTTGTTTGTTAAATATTGATGGAAACACCTCTACTTAAATTAAAACAAAAGGCCTGCTACCCTGAACACTACTTATCGGCTGAACAGAACAGAACAGAACAGAGGCTAAACCAGACAATGTGGTGACTGCTTCCGACGGCAAAAATCACAGCACACGGGTTCGGGACTTAAAAATTTTACGAAAATAACACATTTTCTGAGTTTCGAAACTTTACAAAAATCGGGTTTTGGATCAAAAAATAATACAAACTAAACGACGGGGTCTCGAACGACCCGAACAACAAGACGACGGCTCGAAACGATGAAACGAGACTTTGAAATTCACGAGTAATCACAACACTAATAGATCGATTTAAACAACGAGAGTTCCAATATATCCACGTCAATTCACGAAGCCAAACGAATCAAATAATCAAACCGATACATACTCCGACGATAAAAGATTCAACGAGCAGGCAATAATCGAACGATTTGTAAATGCGAGCAAGATTGACGAGGAGGTTTCAATCGAACAATACCTTTCTCGGGAATTTTTAATTCGGTTGAAAACGGATGAGGCGAACGGTATGAACTCCGAGAACCCAGAAATCCAGAATTCTTCGAATACAGATCTGCTCGGCAAAACGAGGTTGCTGCTCCTCGTGTTTGGTGTCGAAGTATGGTTGTTGCTCACGAACAGATGCTATCGCCGGAAAACGAAGGTGCGATTGAATTTTTTTTTTTTAATATATATATTAGCTGCGGGGAAGATGAGCACAGAGTTTGAATAAGGATATCTTGAACGGTTCTGAGGAGAAAAGGAACTCCCTGGCCGAGATATAAGAGCAGGTGGACGAGGACGTGCGAGGAAGATTCGCAAGAAGATCGCAACTGGTTTTCAAATGGTGAGACTCGGTTCTCACGCGAAGAAGAAAGAGAAGAAAAGGGCTGGTACTCACAACTTGGGCCATATAATTTCATTTGGGCCAAAACTAGTTAATAGGAAAAGGGCCAATACAACTTAACTAATAAGAGAATTGGGCTGGAAAAATAATATGCCAACCATGGGTCACGACTAAGGCTCGAGGAAAAATTAAAAAGGCTGGAAGATTAATCTACGCGACATAACCGAAAATCGGCGAACGAATTAAAATTTATATCAAATAAATCCTAAATATTCTGATACATATAAATAACAATTAAACGCATGATGATCACATATAAATAAAGTCACGTAGCAATTCAATAATAAGCAGACAATTTTATAAGACAAGGCAATTAAATAACTATATATTGTCCAGAAAATTCAAATAAACGAACGGGGTGTTACATATAACGTCCGATGATTAATTAAATTACTGACAAAATAAATGATCAACTTCTTATTCATTTCCAAAACTAGTACCACTCAGATCTTTAATCATTATGTCGGATACACATCCGCCTGCAGGGCTTGACATAATACTCCTTCCTGAGTTCATTTCGGGGACGTCATCAATCCAGCGCACTGGGGCATAGTGACTGTAAATGATTTATAATAGCACGCCATATAAACATCCTCATTTACCAAAGTACCGAGTATGTCATCCTAACAGAATAGGAATCACCCTTGGTAAATCAAATAAACAAGTAATGAATATAAACGCCTATTTTATATTATCTTACAGCTTTAGAGATTGCATCAATAACTGAAGGTCTAGATTACAACAACGATCAGTGAGTCTCATAATCTTATCCTTCCACGGTCTTGTTCAGTACTTAACATAAGTACTAGTGTGGTTCTCCAGTCATAGATCAACTGAATCAAGAATACACTACAGTCTTTTTCCAACAGGGATCTCACTGCCTGTCTAGACTGTGAACGAATAGTTTAGTCTTACAAGGAACCGATATGTGACCTTTCTGTTCGAGACACCACGAACCACACTATCTCAATGTAAGACAAGGAGTATGATTGCATAAATAAATAAACTGCAAGCATATGTACTTTGACCGAAACATGATTGCCAGATCAAAATGGAATTGTTCATATCTGAAAGCCAAGCTTTTACAACATATCTAACACAACCTGCCACTGAGGTTGTTCGAACAAGAGACCAGCCAACTGAAGGCCTTGATCATGCTATTTTTTTACTTCGACACTTGTCCAAACCTCCTCTAGGGTCGTCCAAACAAGCGACCAGCCAACCCGAAGGCCATAATCATGCTGGATTTTGGACACCAGAACTTTGAGAACTTGCCCAACCTGCCACTAAGGTCATTCGAGCAAGCAACCAGCCAGCCCAAAGGCCTTGATTTCATGTTGGGTTTTCATCTTCGATGTTTGTCCAACCCTCCTCTGGGGTCGTTCAAACAAGTGACCAGCCAGCCCGAAAGCTTTAATCATGCTGGATATTTGGACTCCTTACACAGCGACCTGCCACTAGGGCTGTTATCGAACCGAACCGAACCGAGCTTAAGGTGTTCGAGCTCGAGTTCGATTAATTTTCGAACATGTTCGTGTTCGTTCGATTAGTAAACGAACAAAAAATTTTGTTCGTGTTCGTTCGTTTATTGGTTCGACATGTTCGTGTTCGTTCGTTTATCTAGTCGAACATGTTCATGAACTGTTTGAATTGTTCCAATTGTTCGACAAGTTCGTGTTCGAGTTGTTCGACATGTTCGTGTTCGTGTTTTTTAACTTTTTTTTTATTTTAATGTCATACAAGTTATTTTATTTATTATTTAATATCTATTCATATTTATATGTTCTATTATATATGTAGATACTATATATAATATATAAAATTATAAAATATTTGTTTTTTATTTAATATTTAATATATATTCATATTTATATATTATATTATACATGTATATACTATATATAATATATAAAATTATAAATTTTTTTTTTGTTCGCGAACGCTCGATTAGTTCGCGAACATGTTCGTGTTCGTTCGATAACTAAACGAGCGTAATTTTATGTTCGTGTTCGGTTCGATTGCTAAACAAACGAGCTGTTATCGAACACGAACGAACTCAAACGAGCTTTGTTCGCGAACGTTCGGTTCGAAAAACAGCCGTACCTGCCACTAAGGCCAAACGACACATATCAAACACCAACAAATGATAATAATGATCATCTTCATTGATATTTAAGAATTGCATGAATTACATAGATTCAAAAAGAAAAACTTCTATGCATAATATTACTTTAAGTTCATAACATTCTATGACCTCAGTAGTGGTCTCCCCCCCAGCATCCTTCAAACATTATGCTTCTCCAGCATTGACTCGTTCGACCACGTACGACTGCTCATAGTTGGACAAGAGATTGCCCACATGCTTGGGAACGTTGAACCTCTTTTAGGACAGGTCGCCCACTTGGAAACGTCGAACTTTCACTTTCTTGATGTGAACAATCTGTTAGTGTTATATACTGAAAGCTTGGCTTTGCATGTTATTATACATTTGCCCTTTATGAATGAGAATCATGTTAGATTAAACAAGTTCTACGTTCTGTTGTTCTGCACTTAGATGGAGTATGTCGTCATCGGGCGAACCAAAGATCACTCTATCAGTTACTTGCGAACAAGAATAGTTGTTCACAACGTATATGGACATGAACACCCCATCCGAACGGTTGTAGTGTCAACTGTACAGTTTTTATTGACTGATCAGTTGCACTAGTACATTTATGTATTGAACAGGATCCCGGAGAGGAGAAGTTCATTTTATACTGATCGTCGTAAATAAACTAGGCCTCGGTTAATTATTGCGTTCTCTTAACCCGTAAGACATTAAACAGGCAGATATATATAGTATATATTATTTTGATTCACATGGGTGAGATTCAGTTCGTTGGATTAATATTCCTACTGTTTTGGATAATATTATTATATATAAGATGTGCTGTTAGGATATTTACGGTCACCATGTGCGTTAGTTTGATGATGTCCCCGGAGTGAGTTCATGAAGGATTGTTATGCTAAACCCTGCAGGTGGATTAAGTCGGCATAATAAGAATGTGATGAACGAGCGTTAGCTTCGGTGAAATAATAATAAATTAATTAATTCTTGATATTCAGTAATCGAATTAATTAATGGACATTATATCATAAACGTAGGGAGGTAAATCGAGTAATTATTATTGGAGTCTCAGATGTAATTTGGGCTAGGAAAAAGGAGTGCAATAATATAGTGTTGGTGGTCCATTAATATTATTTAATTAATTAGAGGAATGGGCTTGGCCCACAGTTAGTGTAATTAATTAGAGATAATTACCCCTCACAGCTGCATGTTGTTTTTATTTCTCATAATACGAACCATTCATTTTAATCCTCCTAATCTGCTCTTGAGATTTTTTATTCCACGTCTATGCACCACTTTCTATCTAATTTCACTCATTAATTCTCTTCAACTTTCCTTTCCTTTTTCATTCACAGAGACAATCTTTAATTTCCATTCATTATTTCTCTTCCAAAATCCAAAATCCTCAAACCCCAAATGAGCAACTAAGCAAAGTCGAACACGGTCTGCCGCAGCCGCATCTCCACGAACAAGGCAGATCTTGGCCGCTTCCCAGGAGGCCTTCAATCTGAATTTGCCATCGAATCTCCCCAGGATTTGGTCACCCCTCGCACCTCCATCAGAGAGCCACCTTTAGCAGTTTATCTCCACCCCGAGACACAAACAGAGTTCGAGATTCAAATGCCCCGCGCCGTCGCATCTACTGCATTCGACCCTGGGGGTTCAAAGATAACAAGGGTTTATTTTTAGTTTAATTTTGTGTATGAATATTGTATACCAATTTGTGGGTTTATTTGTAGTTTAAGTTGTGTATTCTGTTCTGAATATTGCCATTTCTATGGATTATATGAATGTATTTTTTTTATTTTTTATCTTTTTTGTTTTATTTTGTGGTTTTGTTATTTATTGATGGGTTTTTGTATATGTTTTTTTATATATATTTTTCATAGTTATAACTATATGAATGGTTTACATTTTGTTTATTTGTGGTTCTAGGATTTTTTTAATCGAATTTGCAGTAATCATGAAGCATGCAGCTTCAATTTTTGTTTTGTGATGGATACTCGTTATTTTCTTATGGATACTCGTCTTCTGGTATTATAAATTGTTTTGATTGAATAATTTTGTGATAAAAAAATTGTCGCTCGTATAAATGGCATTCCTGTAAATTAGATACGTCTATGCATCATTCAACCAATTAATTAAGAAGCTCTTTTCCTAATCTCCTAAGGGTCCCTACTGTAGCTCTATATATACATCATTAAGCTCATGAGAAGAGAATAGAATTCCTATTCTAACGTGAGACACGCCCCACGCCTCTCTCTCTAGATCTCATTCGAGTTTTATCTTCTTCTTGTTGCTCCACTGGTACAAATTGAAGAAGGGTGTATTGGAGTAATACATTAGAAGATCTGTAGGTAAACCGAGACGAAATATATTTTTTCCTACAGAACTAACCGGAGGTCCGATTGAGACGCACAATATACCCAGGCGACCGTCTCGACGAGAGCTTTCCATCTCTGTTGAGATCGCCACTGTTCGATGCTGCAAGCGCCCTCACGGGCCGCCGAAAGCTCCCAGACTGCAAGTTTCGTTTTGATTTGTTTGCATCCATTTGATCCGGTTTTGATATGATCTTGTTCGTGCAACCCAAGGCGTGATTTGCGGTCAACCATTTGCGGTCAAATGCTTGTGGTCAACCAGATCTACATAAATTTTCAGCCGTAAGTTCTCTACGTCAAACCTTTAGATCCGTTGCGCATAGGTTTACGTTTGCTATTAAATTCGTGACTTGTACATAACTAGATCCTCACAGATCCCAACAAGTGGTATCAGAGCACTTGGTTAATTCGTTTTGTACAAAGTTCAAATTTTTACGGCTTTATTTGACAAGATGTGTTCAAACGCAGCCATATATTGGATTATATTTGCATAACTCGATTTTGCATGATAAATAGTTAATCTACTATTATGGCCGACTATGTATTTGATGAATGTTGTTGAATGTGATGTATGGTTTTAAATTTATTTTTAAAGCCTCGGACATGTCGAGGAATTTATGGATGAATGTTTGTAATAGTTATTCGCCCGGGGGTTGACCGGATAGATTTAATTATTTGTTTAGAAAACATGTACATCCATTCGTTGGATTTAGGATCGAATTATGTAATTTTGTAAATTATATTTTTCGTGTTATGATCGTGTGTTGATGATCGGGAGATCACAAGAGATCAACGAACTCGAGGAATAAAAAAAAAAAAAAAAAAAGGCGGCGCATTTTTCCGACGAACCGGCGGCGGCAGCCGAAGGGCTGGCGGCGGCGGACCGACTGGCGGCTGCTAGTGGTGGGCCGGTTTTTTCGTTGATGACCAAGCAGTACAATATCAACTAGGATTCTACTGCTAAAGGAGTTCCAGTTGAAGAGTGAAAGAACTGTCACAGTTTCTTTGTTTAAGGAGACTCAATATTTAATGGCCATAATAGTATATTTATTTATTTATTTAATTAAATTTATTATGCCATTAAATTATTATTTATGCATGTTAATTAATTATTTTCTTGCATGGGATTACTTTAGTATTGCAAGATTAATTATGCATGTTAATTAATTATGTAATGCATAAGATTAATTTGGAAATGTGCACTGGCATGGATTAAACTAGAATTGCGTAAATTATTGAACATGTTAATTAATTATTGCATTGACATAGATTAATTTAGAATTGCATGTTAATTAATTTTTTCATTAATATAGATTAATTTGGAATTGTATAAATGGTTAAAAATCCTCATTAAATTATACTAAGTTTGAGAAGGGATTTTAAATTAAAGTTGATTGTAAAATTCCTAAGGATTCCATTTCTAATTTGTCGGTAAATCAATTAAGTTGCGGTAATGGGCTCCCCCTCGGGTGACATTGCTAAAATTTAATTGTAGGTAATTAGCAGGACAAATTTCTAATTAGATGGTTAGAGGAAATTTTATGAGAGCGTACGGGCTTCCCCTCGGATGACGTATAATCAAATTTGACGATCTTAGGATCGAGAAATGGGATTCACTTAGAATGCGATTAAATTTATTAACCCCCCTCGGGGTCCTTGAATTCTATTGCATGGCCAAATGGAGACCGACTATTAATTTCGTTCGTCATGAATTTGGTTTTGACTTATGAAAATTAATGGGCCCTTGAAAAGCCCTTCTCTTACAAAATACGAGTTTGTAGGGCGACCTTCGTAGCATGCATTCTCACAAGATGTAATAGATGTCAGTGAATTTAAGTTAATATTGTTTTGAGGATAACAATATTAGCAGTTAAATTCAAAAGTGTTTAATCTGTAAAATTTATTTGCATGATTCTCAGGATATTAATCATGTCGTTCAATCCGTTTTCTGTCATTCTAAAATAAAATCAACTTACTAGTCCTAATTATATTGATTGGAAGAGGAACTTAGACATAGTGTTGACTTCTGAGGAGTACAAGGGCACACCCGGAACGGAGCATGCCCTGAGTGCTATCGCGCAGTTGAATGATCTAGAAGCATTAGGAGTTAGTATTGACGGGGTAACCCAGGTCGATAAAATGCTCAAGCTTCTGCCGAAAAGTTTTGACCAATTCCAGTTGAACTATGACATGCATGCATTATGCACGGTTCTTTCGGAGTTGTTGACTGAGCTTTATGCGGCAGAAGAGGTGCTAGTCGCCAAGCAGGCTGGATCTTCCAGGCCTCACAAGGGCAGGAAGAGAAAGAAGTATGCAGGAAAGGCGAGGGCACAGGATGCTCTGGTTACTCAGCGACCGGTCCCTCACACTGTGGCAAAGAAATCGAAAGGGAGATGCTACAAGTGCAACAAGTCAGGACACTAGAAGGTCGACTGCCCTCTCCTCAAGAAAGGTAACTCTCTCATTAATGTCGTAGAAACATGTTTAGCGGTTGTATCTACCAGAACCTGGTGTGTAGATACTACAGCCACTGATCATGTCTGCAATTCGTTGCAGGGGTTCCAGAAAACCAAGCGGCTTAGGGAGGGAGAGATCACCGTCTACATGGGCAATGCTACGAAAGTGGCGGTTGTTGCAGTGAGAGACGTTACTTTATTGTTTAATAGTAGTAGTTTGGTTTTGAGAAATTGCTTTTATGTTCCTAGTTTTAGAAAGAATCTTGTTTCAGTTTCTAAACTCGTTATGGATGGTTTTTCAGTTTCGTTTGATGACATTGTTATTATTCGTTTTGAAAATCGTTTCATATGTTGTGGTTCATTAGTTGGCAATTTATATGTTCTCAAACCAAACTCTCCCACAGTGCAACAAAATGAATTGAATAATGTCATAACTATATCTAATAAGAGGAAGAAGTCTTCGCAGATGAATCAAGCATTTAGACTTGGGCACATCAACCTTAGGAGGATTCAAAAGTTAGTGGCCAGTGGACCTCTCGGTCCACTGGAAGAGCACTATCCAACTTGCAAATCCTGCCTGGAAGGTAAGATGGCTAAGAGGCCATTTACGGCAAAGGGGTATAAAAGCCAAGAAGTGCTAGGATTGATTCATTCTGATTTGTGTGGTCCTATGTCGATCCAGGCTAGAGGAGGTTTCGAGTACTATGTGTCTTTCGTAGATGATTACTCGAGATTTGGGTACGTTTATCTGTTGCACCGCATGTCTGAATGCTTTGAGAAATTCAAGGAGTATCGGGCAGTTGTGGAGAAGCATCATGGTAAATGTATCAAGTCACTTCGTTCTGATCGAGGTGGCGAATACCTCTTTGGAGAGTTCATGACATACTTATCGGAAGCTGGGGGTTGAATCCCAACTTACTTCACCCGGCACGCCCCAACAGAACGGGATTGCAGAGCGAAGAAATAGGACTCTTATGGAGATGGTTAGGTCTATGATAAGTTATTCGAGGTTACCAGATTCGTTCCGGGGTTTGGCATTGGAAACAGCATCGTATATTCTGAACATGGTTCCATCGAAGTCAGTTGACACTACTCCTTATGAGATGTGGAAAGGGCGCAAGCCCAGTTTCTCACAGTTTCGAGTTTGGGGTAGTCCTGCACACGTGTTAAGGAACCTGGCAAGTTGGAGAAACATTCGGAAGCACGAGTTTTCGTAAGCTATCCCAAGGGAACGAAAGGTGGATTATTTTATAGTCATGAGGATCATAAGGTGATCGTTTCGACGAACGCTAGATTCTTGGAAGAAGCCTATATTATAAATCATAAGCCCACGAGTAGACTAGTCTTAGAGGAGTTAAGGGGTGAAATCGATGGTTCCCCACCGAGTGCGCAAGTAGATACATTACATAATACTGCAACACGGCACACTGAGAGTGTACCAGTGCAGACAGTGCCTCATCGCAGTGGGAGGGTTTCTCATTTACGCGACCGATGGATAAGTCTTGGAGAGTCATCGGACTCAGTTCTAGGAGGCCTAGAATCGGACCCAAGAACTTACGATGAGGCATTCCAAGATAAAGATGCAGATTCATGAAATGTTGCTATGAAAGCTGAAATGGTGTCAATGGACTCCAATCAGGTCTGGGATCTTGTAGAACCACCCGATACGGTATGACCCATTGGATGTAAGTGGATCTATAAGAGAAAGAGAGGATCAGATGGGAAGGTGCAAACCTTCAAAGCTAGGCTTGTTGCGAAAGGTTATACCCAAAACGAGGGTATTGATTATGATGAGACCTTTTCGCCATTAGTTATGCTTAAGTCCATTCAGATTCTTTTGGATGTAGTCGCT